TTGAAGCACAATACTATAAATCGATAGATTCAAAAACTCGATAATCGAGTTTTTGTTTGATTTTGCCGAGCACTACTATATACTGAGTGTGGGCAAGCTGATTATGGTACACAAGTAGTTAAGGAATGAGTATCTTTAGTCAAGAAGAAAGAGCTATTCAACAAAAAGATAGCTGATACCAAGTCAGAAGAGGATATATATAGCTCTATATAAGCACTGATAAATAAAATAGTACAAAACAATACAAAAACAAATCCGAGCCTATTCTCAAGTATAGAAAATAAAAAGTATAAACTCCTTCTAACTATGTAGGACCTTCTAATTGAAACAAATACTGCAAGAGTAAAAGAATGCTTAAAATATTATGACAAAGTAGAGATATTAGAGTAGCATAATCAAAAAAGATTCAAAGCAATATATATCTAAATTACATTTGAAAGAAGAGAGCAGAAGAATAATTTACAAAATGCCTAGGTACTGTATTTCAAAAGAGAAAGAATATGTAGAATCACAGTAGACAAATTTGATGCAGAAGAATTAAATACAAGAAAAGAGTTTAGACTAAAATTAAAAAAAGTTATATGAAAAGCCTCAGAAGCATTACTCTTGAGACAACTGAAGAGTCTCAAAGCCAAAATAGTATGCATCCCTAAAAACAGTTATAGCAAACAAAAAAGTATTGCATTTATATATTTTGCATCACTAGAAAATCTAGTAAAGCCAAAGACATCAACTCTTAAATACTTTAATAACAAGTTAGAATAGAGCAAAAACAAGAAGTACAACTTATTAAGCTTGAACAAAGAGAATAGATATAAGGTAGAAATATTAAAAAATAATAAAATTTTACAGAATTCATTTTCAAAAAGGCAAAAGAAATATCATAAATATAAGTTTGGAGTAAAGTACTAAAAAAGAAACCACAGTAGTAGTACTCAGAACAGTAGAGCAAGTAGTACTAAGAGAGCTCAAAGTAATATAAGAAGGCCACTTAATAGAATAGAAAACATACTAATAAACAAACAAGATAATCAGCCATATGGAATTGCAATAGGCTCAAATAAAGAAGAACTAGATAAAAGAAATGAAAAAAAAGTAAAAAAAAGTAAAAAAACAAAAATTGAGAAATTACTAGCAGAAATACAAGAAAAATTTAAAGTAACTAGTAAGTAACCCGTCACGTTGCTCCGTAAATTTATTTTTACAAATTAATACACCAATATGTATATTATAAATTATAAAGGTTTTAATATTTAAATTTAGCCAGTTTATTTAAATCTAAAATTTTAGGCTCAAATGAACTCGGTTTATTTGAATCCAAATTAGGCTCAGATAAAACTGGATTGGGTTTATATGAACCCAAAGTAGGCTCAAATGATTTATTTGAATCCAAAGTGGGCTCAAATATGAATCTGGCTTGGTTAATTTAACCAGAAGTAGGCTAAAATGAACCCAGATTGGGCTCATTTAAATTGAAATAAACCCAAATTGAATTCATTTAAACTCGGTTTGGTTTATTTGAATCTGAAATGGGCTAAAATAAACCTGGCTAGGTTCATTTGAATCTAAAGTGGGCTAAAATGAGCTATCTACAAACGACATGATTATTCTAATTGGTCAGCAATATATAATCACATCACAGAAGAGTTATCGTTATTTAGACTAATCCGGAAGGGTATTTAAATTATTTATACAGGGTAAACTAAACATAAAATATAAGTTTTTAATATTTTAGATAGAATAGCTACTGGCTAAATGCTTCTAAAATCGTACTAGTTGAATTATAGATGAAAGAGTTGAAAGACATCCTAATAACTGAAATACAAGATCAAACAAAAATAATAAAGCAAACAAACTTTGAAATATTTAGAATAGGTTTTTATAATATTAATAGGTTAAAAACAAATGAGCAAAAACTTTTAGCAATAGCAAGGCTAGGGAAAGATAAAAGGTACGATATAATTGGAATAGCTAAGACAAATATAGAAGAAAGAGAAGCAAAATGGTTCAAAACAGAACAAACAGGGTATACGGGTTTCTGGTTAATAAAGAAAGAGGATAAGAATAAAGAAGCAGGAGTAGGCCTATTAGTTAACAAACATTAGCTGTGATATGTAGGAAAAGTAACCAAATATAGTCTATATGTGCTTAAAATAAAATTCTTTTTTAGGCAAACAGTAATACAAGTATAGGTAGTCTATCTACTGCCAGCAAACAAAAAAGCCAGTAGAAAAGCACAGCAAACTATAATAAAAGAAATATGTAGAAACTCTTTCCCGTACCCCTGCATTTCTATAAGTAAACAAAATAACAAGTACCATATGGAAAGAAACTAGAATAAAATTAAATTACATCTAACTAAACTGAACCAATACAAAGCAAAACAAACCAACAACAACAAGACTAGCAAAAGAAACAACCACCACCTCCTCAAACCTCCTACAACCACTAACTTGGAGGGTGCACAGTCACTCCACCAAGCCAACGAAAGTTACCCCAACAAACGTGCTAAAGGCGGTGACATGTCTACCCACTCCCAAAATTCCTAGTACACCAAAACAGCACCAATACCAACAAACGAACAGCAAACCTCAGAACACGAAATCAACCCAAATTCCTCCTCTCAAAATACGAACAGCAACTTTCACAGTGAAGCAAACAATACCAAAGCCTATTCAACTACCAAAACAAAACAAATTACATCACCATCACAACAATCAATCTTCACACCAATTCAAGAAAATATTCCCATGCCCCACGACCCAATCCAGAAAAATATTCCCATGCCCCAGGACACAATGACAGTTACCCAAACAATGGAGACCAATCGGGCCGAACCCAGCCCAAATCCTACAATAATCAACAACGACTCAGTTAACCATCAAACCAGTGACCAAAACCAACTAATGGAATTATCTGATGATACCATATCTAAATTAAACCCACTGCCAGAAGGTAATACAATATCTCAACGGCAATTGGCAAGTTGGCAACAAACAAATAAACACCTATATAGTCAGGCAGCTGCAAGAAGAGCCCCACAAACCAACAGCTACTCAAACAACCTGTGGATTGAAGAACTAACTAATGAATTAGAAAAACGTAAATCCCAAGTATTCGATCACAGCACTTGGAACAACGATAAAATACTACATGCACTTAACAATGAGATAGCCCTCAAAGAGTTTATTAATCACAAAATCCAAACAGCAATTCCTCTTATAAATATACCCAAAGCTATAGCAAATAAGCTCAAATATAGAGACACAGCATTCTTTAAATCCTTTTCAAGAGATAAAAATACACAACCAGATCACCAAGTAGAATTCAATACCTTGATGAACATAGCACTAGAAAAGTATAAACGCAAACACAACGCTATGCTAATCAATAAGAACAACCGTGACCAAATCTACGACAAATTAAGAAAAAAGATAGCAATCGATAGCTTAATCTCACTAAATCTAGCTCAACTCGGTGACCATGCTAGCGCTCAACATATTTTCTACCTTATCAACTTTGGCAAAATCGAAACAACTATGCAGTTCGAACAAGTACGAGGCATAATTAGCGAAACCCAATCAGCCAACAGGCTAGAACTACCAAGACTTCCCAAAGACATCCCAGTAGATATAGCAGACATACTACCATTTACTTTACCAATCAAAGATAACTACAAAACTGCATTGGTCACCCAAACCCTAAGACTAGTATATACATTCAGAAACTTACCAGATTCATATTTTGAAAATGCTCGCACACCTCTGACCAGCCATCCTGGACAAGTACACCACTCGATACGAAATCTCTTCCCAATTAGGGACAGAGCCAATCTATAATTCTTATCAGAATATAGAAGAAAACTCCAAAAACACTATATATTAAATGACAAACTACCTGCATCATACTTCGACCTACCCCCTGAAAAATTCAACTTACCCTCAATACCCCAAGCACTCATCCAAGAAGTCAGGCACCTGTTCCCATGCAATCCCAAGAACGATAGTGAACTTAGAGACCTAGTAGCCAAACTCTGACACCATTATAAATTTAAAAAGCTTCCAAGCGACTTCATCATCCATAAGAAATCACTCCCACCACAACCCTCACAAGTAATCACAACCAGAAGCTATAATTTCCCTATTAAAGACAAAACGAGTGCCTTGCAATTTTTAGCAGAAATCCAAAATGAATACCACACACCAGATCCATTACCCATCAACTACGTTGAAGTCAACTACACGAACAAACCAAATCTACTAATAGAACATACCCAAATTAAAGAAATGAATTTAATAATACCTATCACTTCCCCTAAGCAACTAGTCGACATAGCCCGCGAATTACGTACATACTACTTCTTCCACCAACTACCAACAGACTGGATACAAATTCCAGAAAAAAAAAATCCTAGATTATCCAGTGAACATACAAAACCAGCATTACCAGCAAGTATAGAGGATTTTCAAAGTCAACTCACAGAATTAGACCCAAAATTACAGCTACAACTCCCAATCAGGGATCACAAAGAAATTGAAATTACACTTGATCGCATCAGCACTTACTTCAACTTCACCTACACACCCAACTACATCCACGACTTACCAGACTTACCATCCCCAGACTGGGATATAGTTGACAACTACGCACCTATACATGATGAGTGAAACAAACACACCTACCAACCCACTGTTGGATAAAATAACTATTAATAAAGATACACCTAATTCAACATCTTCACCCCTATTTAAAAGAAATACACATACCCAACTAGGAATTACTGTTTATAATGTCCAAGGAATTAACGTAAACCTTAAATACTCAACCTGGCTACAATATTGCAATGATCTGAATACTGATATCATCATCATGACAGAAACAAAACTATCAGCTAACTACACCTACCCAGCAAGCCTAATTAACCCTTGGTTTAAAACCTATACAGCAAATTGTGATGAATATAATACATCAACACGTCAATCAGTCAAAGGAGTAGCGATTGCACTGAAACCCTACTTACAACCCTATATTCACAATATAAAATCTATACCTGGCTACGCTCTAGCAATCGACCTGTTCTTTCCCAACAACAACAAGACTCGCATAATCGGCGTTTATATCCCATCACAAACCTCCACACTGATAAACACTGCTCAACAAACTATAATTAACTGGATCCAACAAGCAAGATCCTTCAATTTCAATATAATTGTTGCAGGAGATTTTAACTCAAACCCAAATAGAAAAAAACCATCAACCCTTATTACTTACCTTATAAGTTCCAATCTAATAAGCTTACTTAATTTCTTTAATATTGATGATCCCACTTGGCAAAACAACAATACCTTTAGCCAAATCGATAATATATGGGTAAACCAAGAAATAATCTTGGACCTCGCACAACCTTCGCTCTTACCATCACACTCATCAACCAATAGTGACCACCAAATTATCCAATCTCGATGGACAATCCCAAGCAAAATCTCAATACCCCGCATTAAAAAAAATAGAAGAAAAATATATATGTACTCAGAAACCACACAGGATAAATAGCAGCAATTTGAAGACTATATTAACACTCTTACTCTGTCGGCACCCAGCACCTATTCTACCATTACAGACCAAGCCTCAATGGATAAACTATGGAACAACCTCCAACAAACTATCAAGCAAGCAGCCAACAAATATATTCCGTTCAGATTAACATGCCCGAAATCATTCAAAGCCTATACAGAAAAAGCAACCTACTTGCACTTTGATTTGAAAAGGATAAACAAAATAATTAATATAATCAGCCATCTATCCCCTCTAGCCCCCTCATACATCATACTACAATTAAATAAGCAATTAGCCAAAATAGGAAACATACAACCCTTTACGACCAATTTTACTACCTCTGATCTCTTGCCGGCCAACTTCCAAAACACACTAATGGAACTTAAACAACTGCACAAAGGGCTATACATAGCCAGAAATATCAAAAACCAACAATATCAAAAACAAACAATCCACAACAATATAGTCAAACACCAACAAAATTTTACTGATAATACTACCAAAATGATAGATAGCATTCTCAAAAGACAAAGTCAACATGTCCAATCAATTAACATCACAACACCCTCCACTGTAATCACAGAACCTAAAGAGATAAAAGAAGCTACGGCAAAACATTTTGAAACCTGGACTAACTACAACCCACAAATTGGAACTTATGGCCCAATTGGGAACAATACTACACACCAATTTTAACAATTAATGAACACAACTACTCTCAGCTAACTCTACCTATCACAATTCAGGAATTATCAGACACTATAACAAAAGCCCCAGCTAACAAAGCCACTGGCCCATCTCTAATATCCAATGAAATGCTTAAACATCTACCCCAGCTGCACTATCAAATATACTTAATATATTTAACAAGAGCCTAGAATTACAAATTATTCCATTAGCATGGAAAAAAGGCCTGGTCTGGCCGATAACAAAAAGTGGCTATACCGAAAGAAACCTTGACAGGACAAGACCCATCACACTAATAGAACATATAAAAAAAATACTAACAAAAATTATCACCAACAGAATCAACACAATCCTAACCAAACTAAACATACTCTCCCAAAGTAATAACGTTGCACTCCCATTTACTTCCACGGCACAACCTATTAACCAACTTATACACATAAGAGAAGACGCAATAACAAACAATAAAGAATTATGGATACTAGCCCAAGATACCTCAAAAGCCTACAATACAGTTCACATTCCACTACTTATCAAAGCACTACAAAGAATACACCTACCAGAAACAATTATAAAACTACTAACAAATATTCTGTCAGACCGCAACAATCAAGTACTA